TAGACCTATTCCTTTGTGTCTGATGGGTATAAAGAAGCATAGTCTAGATCAGGATGGCTCCCTCCCCCATCCGACCTGCTCCTCCACACTCCTCTGCTCTCCTCCTCTCGCTGTGGGCGGGGCTGTCTCTTGATGTGCGCCCTGAACCGATGTTGGTTGTTCTGACGGAGCAGTGGGAAGGTCATCGTCATCCCGCAAGCAGCTCCCGTCCTCCTCTCCCCCACCATCGGCACTCATCACTTTCATTCCCGTCCTTTTTCGTTTCCATTCGCCTCTGTTGCTCACACTGAAGGTTTTTTCCGTCTTCATTTCAAGGAGGATCACTTTGGATTAGCTCAGCAGTTTTATGATGCACTTTGCTGGCGTGTAGCACTGTTGCTCGAGGAGGAGTCATTATCTCATCAGCTTTTCTACGTGCCAAACTATGAGGCTCTGATCTGCCACTGAAACTGAGGTTAGTTTTCTGGTCCAGCAAGCTGTAGCAGCTGAACACATTGCCAGCATGAATGATACATGGCTTAAGCATTTAGCAGGCATTTAGTGGGGTTTTGGAACGGATATAAAGATTCTTTGAGAGTTTATTTACTTTTTTATTTTATTTTTTGTCAGTTGTTTCCAGTCGTGTTTCCTCATGAGCAACGACCACTTTGCTTACAATAAATTGCTTCACTATTCTGGTCCTGTATCTTATATAACATGTACATATGCTACTCTAATGGTTTTAAGCTTTGTTTCATAAAATACTCCATCTGTTGCGAAGTACAAATGAGAGGCAGGAACATCTGTTAGTCCACCATGTCTTATCTGTGTTGCATATGTATTAAAATGGGAGCTCAGGCAGCTCTGGCTGAGGGATTTGTTGAAAATGGTTTCCTCGTGTGGCTGTGTTTACTGTTTGCTTATTTAAAGAGGTGAACATTTCCTCGTACTAGCTCCCTAACTCTCTGCTACTAAACCTTGAGTAATAGTTGATCTTGATCATGAGGGCATTTGGACAAAAGCCAAAATCAAGTGAATATGTGCCGCTTTATAGTGTAACATGTACATGAATAAATGTTTTTATATTTTCCTCAAAAGCTCTGTGATCCGTTTCAGCCGTATGAGAAGTCCTATTCTGGGCCTCATGCATTAGAGCTGGTACACAGTCTTTCTGTTGTTTCATTTTGTCAGTGTGTTGTAGTTTTACCTTTAATGCTATCATTTGTTTTATGTACACATGATTTGTATGAAACGCAGAAAAGTAAATGTTAAAGATTAATTCAAGGGCAGTCTTTTTTTTAAAGAAAAACAACAAGCCTGTTGGACTTTATCTCACGTCTTTAAAGACTTGGAAAATATTAACTCAAGCCATCTCAAGAAAGTAGAAGTTCTTGATACAGGTGTTTGCGTATTTAATCAAAGCCAAGCTGTTTAATTCTCCCCGGACCGACATGAAAGCTGTTCTTCTCTTTGTCAGCTGCTGTGTATACCCAGCTCGTCAGGCCTTTCATCCACATAGGTGTTAAACTACTCAGACTCAGAGTAACTGTAGAGGGTAATAAGCTGACTGATCTGTGAATATGTTTGATCTTTCAAAGAGATCATTTCATATCATGTTTGGAGCAGGTAAGAGCCTTCGCACTAGACCTTATCAGGGAGAAATGTACTGTAGTTCTCCTCATCTGTCTGACAGGTCTTCATGCAAATGATGTGTGTTTTTAATCCCAACCTTGATTACTTTACTTAGGGCTCACTTGCTCATATAGCATCTGACTCTAAGTGCTGCTTAACAACAAACATACAGACAGACGTATCTTCAACTATCCAAATGATAGTGCAACTCAATTTGTTTGTAGAATTTGAATAGACGTTTATTTAAAGTACAGAGTCCGTTTTTTTTGTCCGGACAGAATGGCTTTCAGTTATCTGTGCTATGGTCTATTTTTCTTTCATGGAGGTTCTCCCAGAAACGTGTTAATTCTTGTCTGCTGACTAGCTTTTCTTTTAGCACTTCTCACTGTTATGCATGCTTGCAACCACTGACTGTACACCCTCTGGTCATTTTGTCTTCGGCATGCTAAATATGTGCACACCATGACTGCTACTTAACCTATTATTGAATTCTTACTAGATCGTTTTGTGTTCTGAGTATGGGCTCCTTTTATCTTAATCCATCTACATTATGTTGAAAGATTTTTTTTTTTAAAGCAAGTACAAGGTCATACTTTTTGTAAACTTCCATGTAGGTATATATTTGATTGATTCTTGAAAGGATTTAGAAAGAGCATATGTTACTTTTATTTGATTATAACTTATATTAGAATTTGATGTGTGATGAAAACTCATTAAAAGGTCCAGTGTGTAGGAATTAGCAGTATCTAGCAGTGTAGTTGCAGATTGTAACACCCTTACTTCACCCTCCCCATCAAAGGTGAAAATACGGTGGTTGTGAAATGTACAAAAAATGCAAAAGGTCTTATCTAGAGCCAGTGTTTGGCTTCTCCCTTCTAGGCAACTGTAGATACATGGTATGGTTTAATTTAGCGGCCTCCATGAAAGGCTATCTGCGTCATCTGTAGATATAAAAGGCTCTTTCTAATGTAACAAAAACACAACACAACACAAAAATCCTTATTTTTTTAGAGACATTAATGAAAACATAGTTATGCATACTCATGTTCCATTTGGGCCAATAGATCCTCCTAAAGGTTACACACTGGATCTTTAATGGATCTTGTCACTCTGCTATTCTCTGAAGAGGGTTGGCTGTCTCTGCAAATTAGCTTTTCACTGCTCTTCTGTTTCTTCCTGTAAAATGACAGTTTAAGAGGTGGTCTTAAAGTGCAATAAAGTACTTTACTTTATATGAGAGATGCTCACCTGGGTGCCATATCTGATATGCTCCATATTAATCACTCAGCACTGCTTCAGCATTTTAACAGCTTAAACAAGGTGCTATGTGCTTTGCATCAGGCTTACGTCACCCTTCGATTTTGCCTTTGTCACACCAAGGCTTCGGGAATTTAACAGATAAGCTTCTATCTTTGTTTAGTTGGAAAAGAGGAAAAATCTATTGATACCCTCTCTCTTGAACTGTTGGCATTTTTTAAATTCTTAAGGGAGCGAGTTCATGAACCGGAGGATGGTAAAGATGCATTTGTCTTCTCTGTATCCTCCCATAGACTCCATATTGTTAGGTTACCTGACATCGATCACAGCTGCTCTACTGCCCAACCAGGGCCTCCAGCTGGTGGTACACACGCTCCAGTGTCATCCTGACTAAAGCTCATTTCCACAGGCTGACATCTAGTTGGCTATTAGATGACAACAGTTTCCTGCCCCTGCATGCTTGTCTAGTGTCCATCATGAAATATATTAGCATCATACATAACCGTTCCCCGACAGAGTCTGTGATTGCATGATGTGACATGCATAACATCACAGGAGGGTCATAATTACTGGATATTAGCAGCAGACCCGGTTGGACATGTGTGTGTTTCTAGCAGTGCAAGTAAGCTGTAAAGATGTCCATTGTAAACACAAGAGGTCTTAGCACATTGAAGCTAACAAATTAAGGTGGGCATCCATTAGAGCTGCAACAATTAGTCGACCAAAAAAAAATTAATCAGCAACTTTTAATAATCGATTAGAAAGAATGGCAAAGTCCTCGGGTTGCAAGCCTTTAAAATGTGTACAGTTCCTGGTTTCCTTAGTTTTCTATGATAGTAGACTAACTATCTTTTGGTTTTGGACTATTGACCATATTGGACCATTTGGATAAGCAACTAATTAATAGCTCTTGATTATTTAATTAGGGGAGAATGAAATAATAATCAGCTATTTATTAACCTGTTGTGTTGTCTCAAGTAGTCTGATTCTCAACCCAGTAATCGACGGCCCCCAGATGTCTACAACAGGACTTAACATAGCTATCATTATCTCTTCTGTTGTCACATTACAAAGCACATAGCTATTTATTGCAGCAGTTTTTTTGGTCTTTTTTTATTTTCTCAATGCAACTGCTTTAATAGACAGTTGCTGAAATGCAAATAGCAAAGCAGGGAGTGGCTCACTAATGGTGTAGTATATTTTTCTCTTGGCAGATGGCTCTCAGCTGGTGTTTATTACTGCAAGCCCCCTCATCCTTCACCTCTTATTCTCCTCACTGCTGCTAAAATATAGAACGCACTAGCTCAACATTGCCTCAGTCAGAAGGGCAGGGCCGCTTTTTGCACTGACATTTGCATGTTGTAGCCAAGAGCGACGTGGCTCAGTGAGTCATTGGTCATCTTCAGACTGTTTGGGGAAAAATAGCACATGTTCCATGCACTCACCCAAGGGCTGACATTTCTTCAGAACACAGTATTATTGACAGTGAGTTTTTTTGTGACTTGACCAGCTGCTGAGCTGATGCTGAGGCTTTTGTCATGTCATTCTCTCCTTGACTCTTTAGCCAGTCATGCAGCCAGCTAGGCCTCTGTTTGGATAAAGTGCTGGCACCAGAAGGCACCCACACTGCAGCATCTGTGTGCCCTCTGTTACACCGCAAGCTGCAACTCCACTCGCAACCGGAGCTTATTATAGGTGGCAAATCCCAACAGTCTGTCCACCAGAATACCATTTCCCTGTGGCTCTCGGCTATGGATAAAGCCGGCATTATACGCATGTCTTTAATTTGGATGTGGCTACTCGTTCAACACTTGCAGCTGAGAATTTCACTCAGACTAAACTGAAGCATAGCTGTCTTGTTTTATGTGTTTAAGTACCTTTCTTTCTTGCCATATTGAACGACACACATTCTGTATTTTTATCATTTAAACGGCAAAGAAATGCTGACCTATCTCGCTCATAAAATTTGAATCCCTCATCTCCCCAGCAGTAATAAGTTCATTTCCCCTTTATGGCTGTCATGTTGCTGGTGGATCATGCTAGGGGCTCATTAGTGGAGCACATAAATGACGTGGTGTCTGTCAGCAGCGAGGGCAGGGCTCAGTACTGTCAGACATTGATGTCCTTAAACAGAAAGTATCGTGTCACTCGAGCAAAGAATGCCTGAAGTGGTTTATAGTGTGAAAGATTATTTGAAAATGAAGATGCTTTCAGTTGAATAGAGGAAAGAGACATTTTGTGACAGTTGCAGTTCAGCCGAGCTCTCAGGTTCTGTTTTGTGAATTTCAGTGTAAAACGAGCACAGCTGTATCTTTGGAAGACTGACAGAAATTATCATCTTTATGTTTGCAGCTGCTGCTGTTTAAATGTTCCCACAGTGTCCAGTGGGTTAGGCTGTTGTAACAGCCATTTCCCTTTTTGTTTTATCTCTCTGTGCAGGTTTCCCTGAGCTACATAGAAGATGTCCACCATGGTGTATCCACGAGAAGAGAAGCTTGAGAAGCTCTCTCAGGAGGAGATCATCTCCAACACAAAGCTGGTGATCCAGGGTCTGGAGGCACTGAAGAACGAGCACAACTCCATTCTCCACAGTCTCCTGGAGACCATCAAGTGCCTAAAGAAAGATGAAGAAGCCAACCTGGTGCACGAGAAGTCCAACTTGCTCCGCAAGTCAGTGGAGATGATTGAATTGGGCCTGGGAGAAGCACAGGTAAGATGGGGGTATGAGGTATGAGGAGGGCAAAACAGTATTTTCCTACTTAAGTTTCCTTACTTCCTTTCCTACTGAGTAGATAGAGTTTGGTCATTAGGAGGATATGTGTTAAGAAAATGTTGTAAAATACAGTGGGTTACAGTTTTCAATATCAGAATTGGCAGAAAAAGAGACTTGCTCACAACGTAGTAAATTTGTGTTATTTAACCCACACTGCCATTTGTTACTGTTCTATGCTGCTTCCTCATTCTATACTGAGCTTGTGTGGTGATCATGATTCATTCAGAATCGGCCTCAGCTTGTACTCTTGTGCCTTGTCGCTGCAGCAGTTTGTCCTTGTTAAATGTCATTGCTGTTCAATGCTGTCTCCATCCCAGGTGATGATGGCCCTTTCCAACCACCTGAACGCGGTGGAGTCGGAGAAGCAGAAGCTACGTGCGCAGGTGAGAAGGCTTTGCCAGGAAAACCAGTGGCTGCGGGACGAGCTGGCCAACACCCAGCAGAAGCTTCAGAAGAGCGAGCAAAGCGTGGCCCAGCTGGAGGAGGAGAAGAAACACCTGGAGTTCATGAACCAGCTCAAAAAATATGATGAAGATGTCTCACCCACTGTAAGTACTAAATAAGCTTGATAAGATAATCCCCTGTATCTACAGATTAATTAGTACTTCGTCTCTAATATATTTTTCATGAGATTGTGTTGATACATTTTAAGGGTATTTCAGTCCACCATTGTTTAGCTGTTATGGTTAGATTGTTCTCGTCGTAACAGGATTCTTCAAAATATACTGTTCCTTTTGAACGCTGTTAACTGGGAATCACTTCAACTGACAGGATTCAGATTTCATTTATTATTTAGCCTGTGCAGCCAAATGGAGATGACTTGTTATTAATCTAAATGGGTCAGACATTGTAAGAAAAACAAATCCTGTACTGCTGAACTGAATTTTTTATTTTGAATCTGCTTTGAAATGTCTGTCTCCAAGTGTAACTCTAAAAGGCTGCAAACCATCATTGATATCTGATACTGCAGAAAAACCAGCTGCTGTTGTTTGTAACAGGATTAAGTAATTATAAGGTCTTCCAGGAATGAGCCTTTCTGTTCAGGTCCTCATTGATCTGGTGGTGAGGATGAGTTGCACTGAATTGCTGACCTTATTCTTAGTCACAAAAAAGAGGTGGTAATAGGCTGTATCCACTAATGGTGAGCAGACAGCGTGTTGTTAGCAGTGTATTTTAAGAGCGAGAAGCACACATTCACAGGTAGCTTTTACTTGCTATTCAATTAGCTAATTAGGTATCTAGCCTGTAAACATAGTTATGCGTAGCAGTGCTGTTGAAGGTTTGTTTGGTGGCTCAATAATCAAGGCCAAGGTGCAAGAAGATGTGTGTTCATGTTTGTAAATTAGATAAGAAGAAGACTAATGTGTGTTGTTGAGAGTCTGTGGCTGTCGTGTAGCTGCTGTCTGGCTCTGTGTGACTGTCCGTTCTGACTTTGATAAACAGTTGGGATTACTGCTTTATAGAGGGTTTGAATTGCATTGGAATAAGGTCTCCATCCTACATAGACAAACACCTAACATTATCTCATCCAATGAATGCAACTAAGGGTCTCCAGAATGTAACCAAAAGATATAACATACATGTTTCTCCCTTAGGTTTTCTATTTTTTTTCGCAAAGGAGAACAAAAGACGTGTGATTCACGGAGCAGATATGTAGTGGAGAAAGACTTGAATATCGATGAGTCGAGTTTATCCTTAAAATCTAAGTTGTCCTGTCAAGGTGAAATAATAATGTCATGACAGAAAGTATAATTTTAATGTAGAGAACATGACAAAACTACACAACAGCCAGCTGGTAAATTGAATCTCTGATCATCAACATCTTTCCACTCTGATGTAATCACATTTAAGCTTGCAAACAGATATTATCTCATGCATGCTTGCTTTGAGGTAATCATGGTACCTGCCATTGTTCATGTCACATATCGGATACGGATGATTCCCAAATTGTCGGCTGTGATTCCTGCTGTCTGAAAGGGGATCTGACAGGCAGTTCTGTTTTTATAATCTCAGCAGGAGGAGAAGGACAGAGAGACACCGAAGGACTCCCTGGACGACCTCTTCCCCAATGACGAGGAGGAGCACGGCCAAGGAAGTGAGATCAACAGTATTCAGCAATTCAGCATGACATTATGATTGTACACACCCATAGGGCGTACAATCTGATAACATAGCTATTCTGTAACCGTATTTGCTTCCAAAATGATACTGTCACTATTTAGAGTCAATAGCTATTAAGAGATGTTTATCCAAAAGTATTTATATCATGTGATTAAAACAAATTATCATTTCATTATTTGAATATCAGTGAGTAAAACAACTAAGACTATTAAAGCCTGATACTTAACATTTTAGCTGTGGTCAAAATAATGACACTTTTACATAGTGCATAGCAGTTAATGTATTTCTGATTAAAATGTATGTGTTTATGTGTTTAAAGAAGTCTATAAGAAGTACACCTGCTTTTCTGCTTTGATATTAGGGTCATATAGGGCTGATTATCTGGTGTCACATCCCTCTTCTAGTAGATTAACCTCACTATGTATGTAAGTCCAGGACACTGGGGTAGATAACGTTGTGTTAAGCTATTAAATACTAATTGAATTATCCCTACAATCGAATTATTCCCAGAAACCACGGTATTGTGTACATGCAAATGTCCTTAGCGATATAATCAGCTCAGATCGTCTCCCTTTGATATCCAAGCTGACCTTTGCCCTGTGCCTCTGTGCCCCACAGTGCAGCACCAACACAACAGTGCGGCCGTGGCTGCAGCCCAGCAGGGAGGCTATGAGATCCCAGCCCGTCTGAGAACCCTGCACAACCTGGTGATCCAGTATGCCTCCCAGGGCAGGTACGAGGTGGCTGTCCCCCTCTGCAAGCAGGCTTTGGAGGACCTGGAGAAGACCTCTGGACACGACCACCCAGACGTGGCCACCATGCTCAACATTCTGGCCTTGGTCTATAGGTCAGAAATGTCTCCATATGGGAGTTCTGTCTAGTTCTACTGTTATTTTTTTCCACTTTATTTACCCCGTGTCTCATCATTTTGTTCTGTGTCTCCTTCTCACTCTTGCAGGGATCAAAACAAATACAAAGAGGCCGCCCATCTGCTCAACGATGCTCTGTCCATCCGGGAGAAAACCTTGGGCAAAGACCATCCCGCTGTAAGACTCCACCATCGTTATAGCAACCATATCTTTGTGTGGACAGATCCATTGTTTTGATAGATCAGATTAGTCATCTGGTGTTGGTTCATAACCTCTCATAGACTCTGTAAACAAGAAGGCAATAACCACACAGTGTACTATATTTACTGTTCCAGTTAGTCAGTCTGTATAGATTTTCTTTTGCTATTAAACTATGGATTTTTGACTATGTGCCTGTGGGCTTGAAAGCTATCACTCGCAACTGCTCAGTGTCTGCTCATACATCCACCATGAACCAAATCACAACATTCCTGCCATTGGAATACAGAGACCGATGGGAAAACATTAATATAAATATACACATACATATTACATTATACAGATTTTTAAGAATTGATTTACACTGTGGCACAAAAACACCTCGTAAGGAAGCTATTAAAGTGCAGTGCTGGTCCCAGCAGCTCTGTGGGCTTTGCAGTTTTCCTCATGTCATTACTCTTGTCACTCAGACTGATCCTCGACACAGAATAATGAAAAACAAAGGCAGGTTACTACCGTCCAGTGTAATCCAGGTGGCTTTAAGCTTTTTTGGAAAGACTGCTTGATTGAACTATATACATTGGTCATTAGACAACAGTAAATTAAGTTCCGATATTGTGAACCAAAGCAAAGCAGAGAGAGGAAGTGGCCTCATTAAAATGTGTTCTGTTTCTGTCCGTCCAGGTGGCCGCAACGCTGAACAACTTGGCTGTGCTGTATGGAAAGAGGGGGAAGTACAAGGAGGCTGAGCCTCTCTGTAAGAGGGCTCTGGAGATCAGAGAAAAGGTAGGCCATATCCCTGGATTGCACCAGTAGAGCCGACCACAGCACTGCTATCGAGGCCTCATCTCAAGGCTAAACCTGTGAACAATTAGCTCGTTGAAATAAACTAATTAACAGTGATAATATTTCCAAAATGTCAGCTGGAGCTACTGAAACAGCAGTGGCTATTAATAGGGAAAAGAGCAAATGATTTTCTTAAATTGTCAAGAAGTTTCCACTGGGTGCCATTCCCGTGTCGGAGGGGAATTAAAGAGTTTAATTGAGAGCACAGCTGAAAATGGATAGTAGGCGTAGGGGAGCGAGGCAGAAGATGGATAGGAGACATGACGAAGCTACAGAGCTCAACAGGGGTACAGCGAGTTTCTCTTTGCCTGAAAGCTCTATTCTGTACACTCTCTATTGATCAGCCAGCCTTTTATTAGATCTTCTGAGTGCCTGCAGCAGGCAGACGTGAAAACAGCAAGAGGTACAGAAGGGCAGATAAGCATGGAGAAAAGCCACTCAGGCAGAGCCACAAACTGACATGTTAATTCAAAACATTTGCTTTCTGATTTCCATCAGGTCCTGGGGAAGGACCACCCAGATGTGGCCAAACAGCTGAACAACCTGGCCCTGCTTTGTCAGAACCAGGGCAAGTACGAGGAGGTGGAGTACTACTACTGCCGTGCCCTGGAGATCTACGAGTCCAGGCTGGGCCCAGATGATCCCAATGTGGCCAAAACCAAGAACAACCTGGTGAGAGACGAAGTTGTCACTATCAGCTTTTATTGAGCTTTCTTTTTATCTCTTCCTTTCAAACCCTTTCACATGAGTGTACTATTCATTGTGAAAAGAATTACAGTCCCTATTGAGCTGTGAATGTACCAAGGTAAACACAGGCAGTTGTTTTATTGTGAGCAGAAGCACTCATTTGTTCTGTCAGCCTGAGTTTGGTCTCTGTGGGGGTGTTCAGCATGCAAACTCTTAACTGCTTGAAATGGCCGTTAAAACTTTCTTGTATTCAGATGATATTTTTCATACTTGCTCTGTGCCTTACTTTACAAAAGTAAAAAAAAAGGTATGAAAAGCAGCTGAATAAAATGTAATTTTAGTGCCATCATCTTCAAAGGTTTTTATAGATCAACTTTGACTCAGTTCTTATTGCTTATAGGGTACCAAGCCAGTAGTCCTTTGTCTGCTGCCTGGCTTCTTTAAGCTCTCCAAAGTCACCCCTTCCTGCTTCTGTATTGTCTCACTGGTGATGGAGAGGCTGTATGGAGACAGTGACTGAGGCTCTGTGGGCATATATCATTTTTCATGAGTCAGAGTGCACAGGAGAAATATGCGGAAGGACCGCTCCTGCTCTCTCAGGGGGCCCATTGGAAGTCAATAGGCCCGTCTGATCCAACACTGAAATGTGCTTTCACTTCTCTTTGTTCTTCAGGCGTCCTGCTTTCTCAAACAGGGGAAATACAAGGAGGCTGAGATTCTGTACAAAGAGATTCTGACCCGGGCTCACGAGAAAGAGTTTGGATCTGTTGATGGTAAGGCTTCATGGAAGACACTGTACGGTATATGACAGCACGTGTTTAAAAGGCTATTTCTATATTGCTGTGGTGGAGATTCTTATTTCAATCGACCTACAGACACAATGAATAAAAACAAAGTTATCCCAAGAAAAATGGTGGTGGGTTACACTAAACTATTTGTTTTTATTGTTTTCCTCCACCATTGTCTTATCTGCCATCTACTGTTTGTCTCACACCAGCGAGCAGGGTCAGTGATGGACAGATGGTTAAAAAGTGGACGATGTTCTGAGCAGGGTGCCAACCTTCACCGTTCAGAGGACTCAAAGAATCTGAACAAACAATTCGAGAAAATAAAGAGTTTACTTGTCTGAAAGATGAACTCTCGCAATTTTCTTCTCTTTTGGTTGAAGCTACCCTTTTTGTTGGCTTTCCTCCAGGGATTAGATTGACTGCTTTTGAAAAAGGAATGAAAGGGACTCCGCACAATGCACTGCTCTGGCGCTTTTTGAGCGAAAGCATCACGCATTGTTCTGAGAGGATTATTTTTTATGTGTCACTTAATTTGACAGTAGTGCTCAGATTTTTTTTTTCAACCTGTTGGTGATTTGAAGGTTACGGGAAAGCTCCACAGCCCTGGGATTTAAAAAAAAAATTTATTGGTTTTAGGAGATATAGAGTCGGTCTTTGAAAGCCATATTTAATGAATCTATAGCATGCATACATTAGCATAGCATGAATGGTTACTTGTAAGTAAAATTGTGCTCATATTTACAAGATAATCAGTCTCTCCTTTGTTTATATTGCCTCACCAATGTCACCTTCTTTCACTTACAACACTATTTAATGGTGTTTCCTGTATTGAGAGCGATTTCTTTCTTAATTTCTTTGGGGAATAATCTGCAAAAATGTTTATAAAAAGATTGAATTTAAAACAAAGACTGTGAATGTATTTTATTTGAATCCATTTTTATATTATTAACAACAGTCTTAAACATTTAGCCATTGTTTTAGTATCTATACTTCAGGCCAAAACACACATTCACACTTATTTTCATTTTTCATCTGGAAGTATCTGTGCCAGATCTCAGAATTCACCAGCCTCTTCCTGTAATTCTCTAGCCAAGCACAGAGAAACACCAAAACAAAGACCTTCTCTCTACCATATTTGACAGATTAATAAGCAAACTGTAGTGTACTGTAGTTGTTGATGTCAGTAGGACGATATGGCAAGCCCAGCCTGCATCATAAATTGTTGATGGATTCAATGAAACATCCTGAGGTCAACCAGTTAATCTGTTTTCCAGTCCCGTTGCACTGTGTGTAGACCACCTCTCTTGTCTGTCTGTCTGCAGCTGAAAACAAGCCCATCTGGATGCACGCAGAGGAAAGAGAGGAGATGAGCAAGGTGAGGGCTTTGTGTAATCCACCTCATGTCACTGTGAACAAAAGCAGAGAAAATACTAAATTGGCAAACAAAAAAAACGTAAATGTAAAAACGTTTATTTCATTTCCTGGAAATTTAAATAGAATCCTTTTGCAGGGGCACTGTCCTTCACGCACAGTATATAAGCCCCAGTGGATATGATGGTTATATGTAAACACAAGGAAAATGTTGCTGATCCAGTTTGAAGCGCCACTCCCCTTCACGCTCTTTTCTTCCTCCTGTCCCTTATTTACTTCCAGGGCAAGCACAGAGACAACACTCCATACGGAGAGTATGGAGGCTGGTACAAGGCCTGCAAAGTCAACAGGTGAGGCAGAACGTGATAAGGTTGTTTTTACCGCTTGGTCATAAATAAATGAAAAATGTAATCAGCATAAATTTATTTATCAATTAGCTCAGACCAAATTGTTCCTCAATGACCTCTGGGTACTTATCGGTGTGCCTGTCTCTGTGTCCAGCCCTACAGTGAACACCACCCTGAGGAACCTGGGGGCCCTGTACCGCCGACAGGGCAAGCTAGAGGCTGCTGAGACCCTGGAAGAGTGCGCCGTGAGGTCCCGCAAGCAGGTCAGCAGCATTTCCTGAACTAGAAAATCTCCTTTTCTGCATGCAGATAACTTATCAGTTCCTGTTTTTATAAATTCTTAAATATGTTCCCCGTGTTAGGACAGCAAATCTCATGATATTTCTTTCCCTCTTTTTACATTGCTATGGATCCAGAGCAACACAGTAAGTGGTTTGTCTCTAACTGATAGCCCCCATAGAGCCTCCACTTCTCTCCCCTAACATCACTCCCATCTCACAGTCATTTAAAGTTTTTCCTTGTCTCTGGTGGCACAGGGCTTTGGATGCATTAAAAGAGCCAGAAAACTAATTAAATACATACCTCCATGTAACTTTACACTCTCACCCACATTGTAGCTAACACCTACCTCTGAGCCTGTTCTGACTATGATATGTTTGTTTGTTTGTTTGTTTGTGTGTTTGTGTGTCGCACCCGTGTTTTGTTCCCATCAGGGCATCGACCCCATCCACCAGACACGCGTGGTGGAGATCCTGAAGGATACAGACGGCGACAGGCGAAGGAGCAGGGACAGCCTGAGCAGCGTTAAGTATGAGAGCGGCTCTGAGACCGGCGAGGAAGTGAGTATGGGCGTGGAGTGGAATGGGGTGAGTACAAATCCACTATAGTAGAGTCAACACACAACCAGTGACCTCACTGAAAGAACAAGGTGGTGTTAGTAAAGTCACAGAGTGTGTGGACTGGTACAGAAAAGCCTACAAATTAAAATAATTAAAAAAATAAAAATAAAAACAGATGGTGATGTGTTTTTTAATGTTAGACAAGAGAGCTCAGCAGGGAGCTGACTCTTCTGGCTCCGGTACCTAAATCCCAGCCAGTCAGGATGTTCCACTAGACGATCCACCTCGCAGGAAGCTCAGGAAGCCCCTCGCTTCACTGTGGGCAAACCTCGCTCAAGCACAAATTAGTAATTCCTGGATGACCTATTTTATGATGTCAGCATTGCACATCATCGTAAATTGAATATGACTGACATTATTCCGGAAACAAAGTCCATGTTGCACAACCTGCTTTTTCACATGATGATTTTGAGGCACACCTCTTTAAAAACAGTAAAATAGTGGGATAGCTGTTATTCCCAGTTCTGCATCTGTACCAGTCCATCAACTTCTTGCACATGTGCCTTGTTCCTCTCATGAGGTTAACCTGGAATTCCCTTTTTGCAAAATGTAAAGCTGATTGAGTGTCTTGGCATGCTGTTGTTTTTGACAGCATCTGAGTTTGCTTCAAACATCGTGTTTTTTGTTGTTCATTGCCTGGCAATGAAGTCCCAGTGTCTTGTTTTAATAAGTGGTTGTTTTGCTGGCAATGCTTATGCACAAGTGGAGCGGTAACAAAACAGGCACAAGCTCATTCTGTGGCACCCTGGCAACATATAAAATATGTATTTGCTTCTGTGGGACTCGCAGAGATAGAGCCTGTCTAAATCCCTATTAGGATGTCTCATGTTTACACCATGAAACACAATTGACAGGCTTCCCAATATCCTGCGATGCTTGTCCCTCTGCACAGTAAACTGCAGTTGATACATAATGGTTCATCCTGCGGGTTTATTGCCTCATTATAACGTCCGCTCTGGCTGCGTTTCAACAGTCATCAGTGTCACTTCGCCGCAGGGCTTTTATTTGTGCACACTGTTTCTCATTGGACTTGCCAACCTTCTCCTCGTTGCTAAAGAGGTCGGTGCAGAAAATGTGATATGCAGTGTAGCAGTTAAACAGACACTGCTAGAGCTGTGTCCCAGCTCGAACAAGCCCTCTTGGTGATGCTTACATAAGCCAGAGGGCCAGATTGTGCCAGCAGAGATGCCTCGCCTGAGCCTGTGCCCTCTCTCCCCAACCCCTCCCCTTACTTAAGTGCAACCACACCCTTCACCGCACCAAACCCAGTCCAAACATGCATGCATCAATGCCAGCCTGCAGGGGCTCGCCCTTAACATGCACACTAATGGACCATGTGTGTTTTCACTGTTTACACATGGTTGAGAAAATGTCTGTTAACCTGATGTCTGCCGCTCTCTCTCCGAGTAACATTAAGTAGAAAGGATGGGGTATTTTTTTTTGTTTGCTGGCTGTTTGTGTGAATGTGAATGCTTCTATATACATGTGTTCATATGCATAACACAGCTACTCAAAACTGCTTCAAAATTCACGCCCAACATATGCAATGGCATGCATCTTCACCCGACCGTGCACCTGTTATTGTTTGAAACATGTGGTGGCATGCAGAGGACTGCTGGGTGTGTGCAGGCATTTCATTATCCACGTCACAGCCATAGCACTACAAATTAAATACACACAGTCAAAACGGAAAATATACTAATGACATTTTCACGCTTTTAACAATTGTTTCCAAAAGCAAATTTGTCAGAAACCTTTTTGAGCTTTTGACTAAAATATTTAACATATTCCATCAATCCATTCATTTACAAAGCTGCAAACATGTGTAACTACGACTCGGCTATCTTGTGCTTTAGAAAGAAGCTTGTAAAGTACTGTGTGTAGTGCTTGTGTGTCGATTCTTTTGCTGAGCGATGATGTGATAGGCACGTCAGAGCTTTCACTCACCGACTGAACATGTCTTCATGCTGCTCTCAGAAAGTCTGATCCGTCACCCAGGCTATAGGAGCGGGTTCAGTACTCATACAGCTGATCTAGACAGTTCACTTCAGTATTGGGTATTTGAATAAATACCTGCTCCTTTCATTATAACATCATCTACACAGGACTAATTTAAGTGCCACTTTACAGGAGCTCATTTACAGAGTTTGTGTTGAACAAGGAGGTAACGCTAAAGAGTCAACCGCCGTCCGCTCTTGAAAATGCATGATTCGACTTACAAGCGTGTGTGTGTGTGTCTGCAATGTGCTTTGTGCTCTCGGCTAGATGCTTCTGTGTGCTGCCTGTTAGTTTGCATGTTTTCTAGATTTCATCCTTTTGCCTTTTCCTTCTCTATGTGTCACTAACCTACTTCCTTGTTGATTACTCTTGCCATGACAACCAATCAGCCTGTCAATCAAATTTCCTTCTCTCACTCAGTGGATTGTACTCTTCCTCTTCAGCTCTCATTCCACACAATATGCTTGGGTGGGTGTGTATGTAGAGATGTAATAAAAAGGCTAGATTAATAGTCAGCTTTTAAGGTAGTAGAGCTCAGGGCAAGCTGAGGCTAGTACCAAAGAATTAAGATGATGTTTTTATCATTCATCAGATACAAATTTCTGCTTTAGGGAATTGTATCTTGCTAAAGTTTATGCAGGGTTTCTGGGTTCAAAATGCTGTAGATAGTGATATTATTCACAATGTCAGCCTCCTATCATCAGTGTAATGGCTATATTTGTCCGCCCATTTCACTGCTGATGCTTGCAGATGTTCCACGTCTGCAGTGCACAGTCACTGGCTGGGTGCATTGTGCCAAGTTCAGGCTTCCTGGTACCCAGAGAGGAAAGAAAAAACAGCTGAGTCACGGTGACTGCAACCCACCAACCTCTGCTGCATCACTGACCTGCTTGTTACAGTGCAGCTCCTATGACAGGTGTAATTTTTCAAAGAGAAACCCAGCTCCTGTGCTGCTGGATTTTCAGATGATTTTGTTTGTGTAGGATTCATCGACTGGGGTTTACACAAACTATAACCAGACCTCAAGCTGCAGTTGTTAACACAATAAGCTGGTGCAGCATAGACAGGATAGTGCAGCTGAGTGCAGGAGAGGGATGATGCTCAGGGTTAGCAATGTGTAGGTGTCTAGCGTAGGAAGCCCAACCCAGAGCTCTTAATCTTACAATGTGTGCTGTTTTTTTTGTCTGTTTCTCTCTTTCTCTTTTATCAGGCCTAAGCCATCAAGATTATTCCTCCATCCTTCTCTCCTTCCCCAACACAATAGCAAAAGGATGTGTGTTGTCGCTCCCTCAGCTCCTCTGCCATTCCCGGCGCCCCCCCTACCCCCTTCGGCAGAGGCTCAGAAAGCCCCCCTCTCCTGGTTGTCACCTCTGTCCCCCTGTTCATCTGACAACTGCTGGGACGTTTGGTCTTCTCATCTCTGCTCTGTTTCACTCTCTCTCTCTTACCTTTCCCTCTCACTAACCCTGCGTCGTCCGCCATTTTTAGAAATCGTTACTTCAGCTCTTTCTCTCACTTAACATAAAAAAAAAAGTCGCTGTGCGTGAAATCTTTTCCCTGTGAGGAAGTCACTCGCACATCTCTCCTCTCTCCAACACTCATTTGTAATTTTTCATAGGTGCATAGCAGATTTATTTAGCTTGATAGAGGAGCAGGACTAATAACTTATTGGAAGAAGGCAAAACAGAAAAACTGAATGATTTTGAGGATGAGTGTCACCTTTGATGGAAGCCTTGGCTCCAGACATCACTCCAACCCACAGTCGGATAAAACGATCACTATAGAGTTAATGTATTACAGAATAATAATAATAATAATAATTGGTTTCACTCTGAATTTGTTTGTTGCCTTGAGCACTCGCAGTCTGTTTCTACAGCAAGGGAAAGTTGACCTCAAAGATGGCTTCCAATCTGGTGCCTGTATTTAGCCGTTATAGTATGTTTTGTTATTTTAAAGAAAGGTATTTTTACCTTGTGTTTTCTGTTTTTAAACTAATGCGATAATGAGATCAAATGCCTAAACAGTGTGGAAATGAATGGTACCATGTAGATTTCACATGCTAATCAGAACAAGTTGTTTCTTAACTTCTGAGGCCTAGTTGGCGGGAAATGAGAAGGGAGCATTGCTATTTTTGTTTTTATAGATACATTTCCTTTGAATTAATTTGAATTTTTTTTAATAAATTTGTTTACATTTTTTTTTTTTTTTTTTTAAATGTCGATTATTTTGTGGCTGAATATTAAGGCAGTAGTTTGTCAACAATGCCGTAGTGTTGCCTGACCAGAAGAGCCAGCATCAAAGAGGCCAAACGCTGACAGCAAATTGGTCAAATCACAGCAAGCTCTTGTTGCCATGGGAATTTATATTCAAGTTGCTCTTACTGGCTTCAGTGCCCTTGGTTTGATGGTTACTCACACAGGCTCTATGCTGGTACAATATGTACACAGCAGCTTGCATTTACAAAGGGAATTAGCAACATTGGCTGCTGCTGTAAAGCCAATATGACAGCAGAGACCAACCGGAACATCTAGCACTGATACTGGCCACCTGAGAGATTGATAAGTACTAATAGATTTCAACATAAAGGACATAAATGCCCAGAATTGCCTTTATTTGTTGGTGTACTAGTAGAAGCTAGCGTTATAATTCAATGGAAGCCTGGATTCCACAGTAGTTCTTGTGTGTATTTGTGTGTGTTTTGGTGGTACAGTCACAGTGCCCACTTCGGCTATGGTTACTGTATTTTGAACACAAAGCTTAATGGAGTGTGTTGCCTTTTTTTCTTACACAGTTGTTTGCAAGTAAACATTGTCACTTTGGTGAATCATGTTTTTAGACACCCAAAGTACAGTGCGAGTGTTTCCTCAAGATCAACATGTTATTTCAGATGTTTAACTTACTGAATGTAAAAATGACTTTAACATCTTGGAAGTGTAATTGTAGGCTGTATTTATAGATTTGACAAGTGCATTCACTATACGGCTGTTCAGTATGCTACTTGCCTTTTATTCTTCATTCCTTCCAATGAGTACTCCTATACTTCTAATGCAACTCTGAACAAAGAATTGACTATGTACATCACATAATTATGACAATATTGTTGTGTTAGTGGAATGCTTATTTATTGAACTGTCTATTCTTGACATATATAGTGTGACTTCAGTTTCCTAAAGTGGAAGAACATAAATGGTAAGGTCTATAAGCACTATCTTAGTAAGTAGGACTGCATTATATTTACCATTCTGCATTGTGATGATTATTGCATCAACACTTGTTGGTATTCTCAAATAAAGTTTTTCATTTGTGAAGTTTTGTCTTTTCTCTGCATCGGAGGGAGAAGTGTATTAATGTGCCATCAGTGGTCACTGCAGAGCCACCCAGTGGAACAGAAATACTTAAGGAAAATGCATGCAAATCCTCTGATTTACCCACAGTTCCCCCTCCTGGTGATAAACCTGTATTGCATTATGATCACACATCAAACTCTATTTATTAAGGAGTGGTATTTATTAAGAATTTTGTTATGGGTCCTCCCAAAGCCAGCGGAAGGCATACATACTGTGTTTACTCGTTGGGTAGTAATTAAAACACGCACACTATGTTCATCTAAAAATGAATGGATGGATGGATAAATGACTGTAATACTGTCAAAAAGCTTCAAGTTGGTTGATCATCATTATTTATCGATAAATTGATAAATCATTTGGTCTATATAGCGACAGACAAATGTCCATCACACTTTCCTGAAGCCCAAGGTGACACATTCATGTTTGTTTCATCCAGTCAACGGCCCAAAACCCCAAAATATTCAGTTTGTCACTAAAGACAGAGAAAAGTTGCAAATTAACCCAGTTAAGATGCTGTAAATAAGTCATGTTTTAGCATTTCTTGCTTTAAAATTGTCAACCAATTTATTTAGTATCAGAATAGTTTCTGGTTCTTTTAAAATACTTAAGTTCTAGTTACTGCAGATGAAAAATAACACCTGACGCAACAATTGAACCACAATGAGACTTTCACACTGACCTTCCTTGATGGATGTGTGTTTATCTGTGTGAACTGAAGTTACTATAGTTGACTCAAGTGGTGTCACTTTATAAAAGTTCATTTTCTTGATGGTTGCAGGATGATAATGAAATGTATGCTTAACGGTCAGCAGTCAGATATTTAAATGATGCCAGTGCTGCATGCTATCATTGCACACATTTACAAATCCTGTATATTAAATATTAAGCAATGAAGACCCCCCCTTTTTATTTTTCAAGATGCATTGATCCTGTGGTTTGGCTGCAACCAGCCGTTCACAACAACTAATGAGATAGATAGATTATTTATCCCGAGGGAAATTCTGCAAAACACAAACCTGCATCTGCAGATGTTCAGAAAAGTTCTGAGTTCTTGTCCCCACGTCTTCAGTGCAGAATGGATGGGGTTGATGATTGTGTGTGTCTGCAGGACGGCAGCGGAGCCCTCCAGCGCAGCGGCTCTCTGGGGAAGCTCAGGGACGTTTTGCGCCGCAGCAGCGAGCTGCTGGTGAAGAAACTGCAGGGCAATGGGCCGCCTGAACCCCGCAGCACCAAGTAAGAACAGGAGAAATCCTCTGCTGTGATGAATAGCAGGCATATAAAGCAAATTATACTACTTGTCTTTGGGAAACAAGTAGATTCATACTCGTTTACACACGAACTCCCCTGCTTCATAAATTATATTTATCTTCTACCTCTACACTGATCTCAGTACAAACATTATTTTCTTACTATTTGTTCAACAGCATGAAGCGAGCTGCTTCCTTGAATTACCTGAACAAAACCAGTGATGACTCGTTCCAGGTGAGGAGCAGGTTGTGCAAGGTCTTTAACACTGTATTAAGTTCATGCTATATTATCAGACATGTTATGTTTTAACCTTCATGTCCTTCCCCTCTTCCGTGTCTTTGTTCTGTCTTCTTGTGTGTCTTTGTCAGACTCGTGGAGGCAGTAATTTCAGGGAGAGCCGGGGCCTGAGCTCTAGCACTGTGGATCTCTACACTGGAAACTGAGTGGCGGGCGGGCGGGCAGGCAGGCGGCTGATCTGTTGGCTGATCTGTTGGCTGATCTGCTCGCCGATCCAAAGATGCTCCTTCCTTTGACTCGTTCTCTGAGCCATAATGATCACCAACAACACTACCACTTCTCTGCCTGTCAGCATCTCACCCAAAGACCCATTTCCTCCAAGATTCAGACCCAAAGACATTTTCAGTTATCAAATATACATAACTGATGTGTTTTTTTTCCCCAGTTTGTTTTTAAAATTCAAGTTTTCGCTTCATGCTTCCCTCGTAATGTTCCTGATATCTGTGTCGCCTCAGTGCCTCCTAAATGTGGCCAAGAAGACATACCTCATCTCTCCCCCTTATTCATAATCACTAAGACTCTGCACTTTCACTTCATCTGTTGCCATAATATCACCTGTTCTGGTGTGTTTGTCCTTGCTTTGATTTGAGATATCTGTGTCTTCCTGTGCCATTCATTGTTTTATTAGTGCAGATTAGATTTCTTCTTATAAAAAAAAAAAGAAAAGTAGATTTCTATTTTCTCCAGAAAAATATTAGGAATGTAATAAATAGATCTGTTGGCTTTGAAATGACATAATGTAAAATTGAAATTATTACATACACACTACAAAAAGAGATAATTTTAACTTTAATTTTTAATGGTGATACATTTGCCTGTTGAGATTTACTTGCAATGTGAGGTGTTGGTTAAAGCTTTTGGGAAACAGGGTGAAATGTGACATGATGTGAGTCATGGGACTTGTTAGGGCTAACCTTTGTTCATACAAAGTTTTGGAAAACAGTTTGAAATTCAAATAGACTGCTGCTTTAACCTCCACAGCTTTGAGATCCAAGTGTGTGTGTGTGTGTGTGTGTGTGTGTGTGTTTTCTCTGCACCAGTTTCTCTTCCATTGCAGAGAAAACACAGGAACAATCTCTGAGTCATTTGTAGCCTCAGAGTGCTGAGAAACACAACCATGAAAATGTTCAACTTTTAAAATTGTGTATATATAAAAAGAAAATCATGAGGCTGAACTAGGTCGTTTAATTCCTCCTGGTCGTCCTGAATGATCTCTGGTGCCATGCGAGACCTCTGGCGGGTTTGAGCTGCCAACTGTGAGCACATCTTGTTCTAATGTTGTTTACAGTGATTAGGATGTGCGATACATGTCTAGATTTCGACTATGTGATAATGATAGATTTTGCACAATTCTCAGATGGGTGTCTTCTGTCTTTGATTGCATTTTTTTTTTTTTTAGTGAAGCTACTCAAAAGAACTGGAATGTCTCATAATTATTCTTGATTTTCTTTTTTCTTGTTTTAAGTATGTGTTTTCTCTCATCCTTTGTAATAAATGTATAAAACAGAATCTGATCATAAGTTCCCAAATCATGCAATTCAACAGGAACGTAGTGGGAATAGAATTTCTTTAGGTTCATAATTAGAAATTGTTTGGATCTGATTCTTTAAAAAAATAAAAAATCCATATGTCATGAATACTGTCTGATAGCTAATCTCAACCACTGTCTGATCTTAACTCAGAAATAAAAGCAACAATTTTCTATTCAAAGCTTTTGTCATTTACTCGTATGTGTGTGGCTGCTTTGTGGATTCCCTACAGGCCTCTCATCTTTGTGTTTAAAGGATTTAAATAACTGGATTGACCAGTGTTCTGCTTTGCCCTGTCCCTACACCTGCAGATTATATTACACTGAATTCCACCGAGCAAGATCTTAAATGTTAGTATCAAAGTAAGTGTGGGAACCCTGTGAACGCTGATGCCTTGCCAAGATGTGATGTGTCTCCCAGAGTCCCCCCCCCTTGGTAGAAGTCAGCCCGGGGTTTCTCTGCTCACTGGTAATCTCTCAGTATATGTCAGAGCTTTAATGTGGAGCCTCAACCCTTTAGGAACTGCGGGAGCTTTGAATTAACCGATCCCATGATGGTTTCCTTCTGCCGAGAGCTGACAGGCTCCTTCTCTCAGTTGTCTTGGAAGAAAAAACTCAGAGTAGCCGGGTTCATTAGTGCTTGAGAGTTGACCCGAAGCCCCTCAAAAACTTCAAATGAAAGAAGTGGTGCTGGTTGTAGTTCCTACTTCCTGCTGTAGTCCTCCTGCCCCCTCATAAGTCAGGCTTTCATAGAGAATAAGCAAATGGCTGGCAGGTTTTTGAATAAATTTTGTTCCCTCCCTTATTTAGCGCAACCCCTGCTTATCATCAGGTCACTCTTGGTTTGACCCTTTAATCATTTAAGCTTGGTTGACTGCATGTTTCTGTCAGCCATCTAGGTGCCAGCTGGACCAGCAGCATGGAACCAGTCCCACACACAGTACTACCGGTGGTGCCAAAGGGGGCCGTCCCCTTGTGTTTGAGAATGTTGTATTTGCATGGGCGGGTCTCACTGGGTTTGTGCCATTTATCACCTGTCAAACTGCAGAATGTGCTGGGTTGATTGTAATATAAGAGCATTATTTAAAAAAAAACCCTCTATATTAATCTATAAAGTTTAGTTATTAGGCCTTATATGCACAATAGATACATACAGGAATCACAGAGCAAACTATTATGGAGATTTTATGTGTATAGAATTATCATTATTATTATCATTATCACTGAAAGGACATTTCTTAAGGGCCGGATGGGATCATTATACAATGAGTCTGGATATTCTGATTCTTAAAGCTGTTTCTGAGCAGGTGAAGTGATCAGTTTGATCCAGGGGGTCGCAGTGTTGTATTCCTTATCCCAGGTCGGTTATGGGCACCGGAAGCTCCACTGTAGGGATAGAGGGGAATATACGTCAAGTGACCGGGGATACACAGATCGATACAGGATGTTCAATGTTTTGATTTCAAAATAAAATTTTAATTTTGTTATGTACGGATATAGGGAATTGTTGAAACAATAGTTGAAAATAGTTGGAAGATATATTAACAAAAATATTTTTGCTTGTGAAAATTTTGTGCAAAATCAACATATACATAATGTGACAACTGGAGAAATAGGTAAGATAATTTATTTTGATTAGATAAGACACGCTGGGGAAATTACAACACAACACAATAGATATGAAAATACACACAAATACAAAATATAATAGAAATAGAAAAAATAAGATTAAGAGTTACATTTACACTATATACAGATGTGATGTAAGGTGATGTGTAAATACGCTATATACAGAAATAGGATACATTTGGTTTGCTTCTTCTACTTCTACTGTCTTTACACAAAATTAAAAAGTTAGCGGAAGTAACTACAACCATAAAAATAAATAAATACATGTTTTCCCCTAAAAAAAGGATGATTCCTTCAAACTCAAATACAACATATAGCGTATATATTTTTCATTACAGCCTTGATTTTTTAAAATAATATATCTTTATAATTTTTTTCCTATTATTCTTTATTGTACTTTTACACTACATCCCAAGGTGATCTTATCTTAAATGAAACGTGGAAGAAACTTAATGACATTTATTTTGAAAGTCAATACCGGAACTCACGTGTGTTTGTTCAGCCCACTTGATGCTCGTGTTGAAAAAAAAAAAATCACACAGGAGGCGAGTGGGAGGAAGCCAAGTTGGAAACACCGCGGAGCGAAACTCCTCTTGTTGAACACTGAACTGGCCCGGCGGTCGGCGGCTCTGGACGCGGGCAGACGGTGGCTACACAGACCGGGTTGTAATGAACCACTGCGGCCTGAATTCACACCAACCCTCCGGTCCGTAAACCACCTGGAAGTTTAAACTCCGCTTCAAACTTTCGGCGGGGCTTTCTCCTCAGTCTGAACTCGTTAAGTCGTTTAGTCTGACCGGCCTGCGAAAACCCGAGGCGTCGGTCTCCCCCCCCACCCCCCTCACATGTCTTCTCGCTCCTGCTAGAAAAAAAACAACAAACCAGGTGAGCAGGCCGTGTGGCTTCCCCCGGGGACCTGCGCAGGTAACGGGGGTTAGTTTACCTGTACGCACAGCGGTGACGCACGGATCTCTCTCTCTTGACGCTCCCCTTTCTCGCCCCTACGGCTCTCCCGCAGCCGCCGGAGAACAGAGCACCGGGGAGCCGCCGAGCACCAGGACGGTCATGGATCTACCAGGAGAGAGCGAGACCCGGCGGAGGGAAGGCAGGAGGACCCCCGCTGTGATTAACAGGAGAAACCGACCGGTGGACACGATGTACGCCGTCGGTATTATCTGCCTCCAAGGTTGGTAACAAGCTACTTTATTTCATACACACAGTGCGCAGACATTTAATTTATTTATTTCTATTAATGTAGATGCTGTAAAAACAAGAAAGAAATTCAAATTAAAGACGCTCATTGATGCGGACCCCCCCTCCCCGACATTGACCTCCACGCTTTTTACTGGAGGATTTGTTGTTTCTGGTTCAACTTAGTTCATTGGGCTGAATGCCTGAGAGAAACATACCACTGAGGAGGGAAAGTCACGGCTACAGCTGCTTTTCTCATTCACTCCTTCAGAGAAACACCTTCTGTTTAGTTAAAAGTGTAAAGACTTTAAACTACATTTTGGTTGACGGGGTCAATGGGGGAAAGGGGCACCCCTGTCCCCCTCCCCCATTGACCCCAGTTTAATTAGGCGGGGGGACAACAACTGCAGTTTTGTAAGTAGATCCAGGCTTCTGATTAGAATATAAATGCTTTCAAGTGTGAAAATACTCCATTTAAAAAGAAATTTGCTCTGTTTGAGTCAATACAAACAACTGCTTGCATATTACACAGTAATTAAATACCTCATCTGGAGCAGGGGAATGGGATGATGATGATGGTGGTGGTAGTTTTCCAGCTATCACTGGAAGCAGCCTTGCCATGTCATTATGTATTCCCATGAGTGTATTTCCAATCCTCACACAACACATTGGATACGCCATTTCTGATTATCATATTCATAACTCTGTTTGCATGTTTGAACTCTCTCTCTTTCTCTCTTTCTCTCTCTCTCTCTCTCTGTCTGAGCCCCAGCTTGGCAAGCTTTTTATGGTCCCCATTCATATGCATGGGGTGGAGAGCGGTTAGAACTGTTATCCAAAAGAGAGGAGCTAGAAAAATACAAAACCTGACGCGATGCAACGCCCTCCCACATTGTTGAAGGTGTAAAGTTCACAACCTCAGCTGCACACCGAGAAGAAAGCCATGAAAAAGAGCCTTCCCGGGCTGTGCAAGGAATGCTCTTATCCTGCCAAGGGATCGGGCTCATTAACTCACCGCTCATCATGTCAAAACCGAGTCAGTTTTATCTGATCTCCACATGTAGACTGAGACGCAGACGAGCACAGATTGTGTTTTGCCTCAACCTTCAACACAGCGAACGATAGTGAAGAGTGGCTGAAAAATTCCTTTAAGTTGAAGTGTGTGTCGCCCCCCTCCAGTCTCCTCATGGTGCCCACTTTGGGATGAATGTGTCCTCTGTGCGCAGGCAGCAGGGGAGACGGAGGCTGCTATGGGTTTGTGTTTATAAGATCCATGAATAGAGCCAAGCCAGGTACTGTCATGACAGCCTCGCGTTGTAGCCCGCTTTAGAAATGTCCTATTTATAAAAGGGCTTTCTGAATGTGTCAACAAAAAAAAACACTGCGGAGGCCAGAAATGAGTTTTTATAGTGGCTTTATTCCCACATGAAGCTGTCTGCACCAAACACACCATGTTTTCTGGAGGGTTGTCTGATCTGCAGGATCTGGACACTGTGCTCAAATATTTACCCAGATTTTTTTTAATTTTTAGTTTACAGTACTGCTCTGTTTTGCCGTTTCACTCTTTGCTTTTCTGTATCTTGATCCGGTTTCTATTTGTAGCTGACCAGCGCCGTGCTCCTGACGCAGCTCTCAGAGAAGATGAAAGCCACTTATGGAGTTAATGTCCATAATGTTAATGCAGCATCTCTCTCCTCCTATCCGCCCACCTATCGCTTTCAACCTTCCTCCTCATCTTTGTGGTGTGTTTTTTTCATTGCCTCATCAAGGCAATTTCATTCCTTCTAGTATTTATGTGAAGATAAAGGAAATGACTAGGCTTATTGCAGAGGAGCTGAGATAGAAATGTTTAAGTAACATCCCCACACACACGCTCGTCTCTTCTCAGACCCTCCTCTTTGATCTCTCTCACTCATGGTGCAGCTGGAGAAGATCTGCATTTCAGGTCTCCTGGCGCATTAATAATTTGGATGCCTGTGCAAAAAAAAAAAAAAATCTCATGATGGTTTAGAGGTATGCAATCAAATGTCTTGATGGAATTCACCAGTAAGCCCAGACTTTACTGACTTTGTGTATCTCCTCTCTGGCTTCCAGAACCGGCTGTAGAACCAGATACTGTAGTTAAACTGCAGTGTAGCAAACCGCAGTTAAATTGGGTTTGTGTAATGGATTTGTTGTTTGGTCACCTGTTGGATGATGTTTTGCCCAGAAGAAGACACCGGAAGTCAGTATTGTGCATAAGCTCTCCTGTATTCAGGAATCGACCAGCGTTTTACTAAGTGGCAGGTCCGCTGCTCTTAAGAGAAAGTCCATAAAGCTAATCTGCAGCACTTGCACTGTCTTCGGGTCGGGGTCTGAAGAGCGGCTCTGAGCGGATCCCATGAGGGCTTTTTTGGGGCTGTTTCTTCGGCGTACCCACCTGCCCTGGCTCTATTTTAAAATCCACACGCATGGTTCTTATTAACTGTGCCCCTAGGCTGTTTGGCTGCACACTGTTCCTGATTCTCTAAAAATACCCAGATTCAGAGGGGATGAAAGGATGATGCCTAAACAAACACAGGAACATGTTGTATGGAGTGGAATTTGTCTGTTTACCATCAGGTATATACAGCGGTTTACAATCCTGTGGCCAACAACAATCAAAATTCAATCGTAATGTTGGAATTTATTTGAACACATTTGAGTTCAGCATGAGCATGATGATGCAGAAAACTGCTGTAACCTTATTCATACATCATATAGTGTTATCGTCCTAAGAGGAGAGGTATAAAGAAGATGGATGATTTTTCATCTTGATTCTGATATTGTGTTTGTTTTACTACAGAGCTACAGGGGTTGGATATTATATGAACATCTGTGTAAATCATTCCAACATCTAATGCAATCTACTACAGCCGTGCAACATGCTATATGTTTTATCCTGCTTAAGCTTCTAATGTTTCATTCTTGTTAATGCAGAGTAAGGCAGTGATACGGGGCTTTAGTATTATTGAACTATAGTTTGTGTAAGCGTCGGCCCATAATTCAATATTACCCGCTCCTATCGTGATATGATCGTATTATGTGGTTTATTTAACAAGTTTCTGTTGTTAAAATAAATTATTCTAGCAAGTTGTAATCTAAAACTAAATTATGTGGCCATTGAAGGTTTTGTTTACATATGAAAGCTGTTGCAGGAAATGTATTTATCTTTTTACAACACAAGGTTGTTGTTCATGTTGTACAATAATTATATTAGAAGAACATATAGAATAGAATACAGCATATAAAATAAAACCATACATATATTTATTTATAAACATACTAGATGCATGTGTACACAGAGGGAATAATTTTAATTAACATCTGGGGGAATGTAAACAGCATCAACAAGATAGTGATGAAAATATGGTTCCATATTCGATTTCACATACACATTTAATATGTGCATTAGCATTTTTGAGGCCGGTACAATATACGATACAGATACTGTGTCTGGAAAATATTATTATTGTGATTTTAACAACCTCACTCAGCCCAGAGTCTTATAGGATTGATTTACATTATAAATCATTTGGTGTCCTTCTATATGTAGAGATACTCTGGAAAACAAGATGCACGAAGCCCCGTAGAGCAGCAGTTAAAGAAAATGGGGTCCATGTCAAAATGTCTCAAGCTACGTTTTAAACTCTGCAGACTTTTACTGTACGAGGCCAACATGTTGGTCATTATTCTAATTTTCCGGGGCTGTTTCAAGGATAGCCAAAGCTAGCTGAGCGTGACAACGAAACAAAGCACCGAGCAGAAAAAAGCCTGATGAATAGACTTGAATAATAAGATCTGGTTCCCAGTGTGTTTGACTGGTAGCACAGGTTGTGGGACTGGGGGAGGATTTCTCAAGGTCTTCCATGGCTCTTGTTTCTGGTCATTTATCAGACAATGTTTATTCAGGTTTAGGTGCAGCCTTTTGAACTTGAGAGTTCTCTTTTTCACCCGGTTGGTATGTGCAGTTTGCACTCACTCCATTAAAGAGGGCTCTTCTCCTATGGGAGGATCTTCTTGCACTCTCTCAAAGGTTACAATCATGGCTACCCAATATCTCTGATTTGGGGTCATGTCAGTTCTCAATCGATACGCCCTAGTCTCCATGGTTCTCTGTCCTCCAGACCATGACCAAATTGATATAGGTCTACCATCTTTAACAACGATGAGGCTGGTGTGTGATTTTTGTAGGAGTAAATGATGGTGTGATGGTGCATGTCTGGCCGAATTGTCATAAATCTACTTAATGGATCCTCAAATTACAATCAAAACCGAGGTTTGACCGAGCAAAGTTGTCCCATTTGGCCGATACCATGATGCCTTCACCTACACCTCGTATATTTTCTTTGATGTTAAAAAGGGTAGTTCAGGAGCAGAGAAGAAACGGAGGGAAGCGAGGTTTCATAAATTGGGATTTGAAAAGACTCATTCTTCTTTCTGGCTCTGATTGTCCTCACTAGGCCTTTCTTATGATTCAGATAAATTGGTGGAGCAACAGGGAAGAATGTTTCGTTTTATTTTTAGTTTTTTGTCTGCATTTCTAAAAAGTGTTGATTGGATTCATTTTGAAGTTATGGATCAATGGTTGCCAGACAACAATCTTATCAGCCTGTGGGAGGGATTTATAGAGGATAGATATGATAGATAAGATGACCTATCTTCTAATATTTTCCGAGCTGTGAGATTGAATGATTGGTGCGTAGGAAGCGTACCCGCTGGTTTGTGTAGGATCACAGAATCTCCCTGATGGTCTTTGGTCGGACCAGAAAATGACCACAGTTCATAATAATGACCCGGTGGCCCCTGTTGGTACCTGGTCATCAATAAAGCCAAATAAACAGGACGGAGGATGATTACTGCACCTAATGACCCATGGGCTTGGGCTGCTGCGTGTGTGTGTGTGTGTGTGTGCGCGTGATCGAGTGCATGTGCGTTGGCTCATGTGTTTGCGGTTTCGCTGGCTCTGCTGTTGGA